GCTGCAACCTTGGCACGGGTACAGACCCCCAGAATGAATGGACGGAGGAAGCTCCAATTAGATCTCTGCAGGTTTTCGCTCAACACGGCCCTATCGCGGTGTACTGTACTGGTATAATATCATAAGTTACCGTACGATAGCATCCTCGAAGCCAAGCCCCGACCGGACTCCATCATAGGATGAAGCAGCGGATCCTGGATTACGCATGATACAGTAAGCCTCAAGGGAGGAGTTTGAACGCTGAGGTGAGGTGAGGGGTGGTGTCTAAGATGGCCGTCTGGGCAGGGTGGAATTGGTGTGATATTCCTGCGCTTGCACGGTATCATACAGTATTGGAGGTTGGGGAGGGGATTTTTTTCTTTTTCTTTCTCTTTCTTTCTTTCCTCACTTGTGCGGGTCTAGAAAAATGTTGTGTGGTACTGTACAGTACAGCACAGTACCGTTTGGGCTCTGTATGTATTGTGTGTTATGATACGATTGTGCATGTTGCCCTTTGTGGGTACGAGCGTATAATACTTCTTCTTCTATAATACCTGTGGGATGTATGATAGATGGATTGTAATTGAAGTACAGTGAAAATGGTTGTATGATATATTTTTAATTCTATTTTTTTTTTTCCTGTCGAGTATTCAATCGCTCGGAGTGCTGTGCTACCACACACCTCCCTTCCCTCCGGTTCAAGAGGATTATGAGTGATATATTGTGATGAAAAAAAATCACTTTCCTCGTGCTTGATGATAAAACGTCATTGATGATGTGATGGGTGTTGGGCGGTCCGGAGCGCCTCTCCGAGGGTTTTTTTTTTAGTGGAGGGGGCGATTTGATGAAGGGAGTGCTCATGACTATGATAAATTTGGGTTTTCTCCTTCATCTCCCTCTGCTCGGGTAGGTGGTGTTGGATAATTTGTAACCTGTCGAAGTGTATCGGATGATGAGATCCTTTCCCGGATAGGATTTTAGAAGGAGAGAGAAGGAGGGGAGGACTTAGCTAGAGATATGATGTTACTAGAATGTAGAACTTCATATCTTGCTCCTGTAGTAGCCATTCATGTCTGATTGTTTTCTTTTTTATTTGGAGGGGGGAGGGGGGGGGATAGTAAGTACATTAGGTATGATGGACGTTCAAACAATAGCGAAAAGGATAATTGGCAAGTCAATTAGTGACCGCCCTCACAAACTGATCCAGTCATCTCAGTGCCTACCCTGCCAGAGAGAAAGTCTCGATGGCTCCCGGAACCCGTGGCTGGCTTTCCTTTTTACCTCTATTTCCCTCCTGCCCTTCCTACATCCCTCCAATTCCAGGCCCTCCACTCTCAGGCTAAGTTCGGATTCTACCGCCTCGTGGTAGGAGAAATTTCCCCCCCTTCCAGGCTTACTGATGGAAAGCCAATGCTCGGAGTCTTTCTTCCTCTGCCATACCGCATGATTTGTGTTATCTTCCTTGCCTCACGCGACGGGCCGTTCAATGGTATGATAGCTCATTGTGAGGAGGAGGAAGAGTAATTGAGCTCCTGGGCTCGTTCCGATTACACGGGGGGGTTGATCAGTTATCGGCATCTTAACTGCTACCCTGGATGGGCGTTCCATTAAATGATACCCGTCCATATGGTATTCTTTTTATCATACCCTTTTCTGTGAAATAAATGTCGTTGAATGTCGTTATCTCGGAGGGACAGAAATTTAGATATATATATATGAAAACTGCATATTATTTGAATCCTTAAGGTGCCGATACCTAGTGCTGAAAGTGTTGGTGGGCATAATATCTCAAACAAGTTAAATCGGAGCCTCTATATAAGAATCGAGTATGATGTATTGAGGATACGTACCGGTCCAAGATGAACCCCCCCTCGTGGAAGATCAGAAACTATCTAGTAGGGTGCATAACTCGAATTGTCCGGTTTCCGCCTTGGAGGGGTGTTAGGACCGTCTGTGGCGCTCCCTACTATTCATATACTGCATTTTGAACTACAGTGGCACATAATATCATAATATTATCATTTTATCAAACGTGTATTATACCTATTACTGGTATGTGAAATACCCCTGAACCTGCTAACATAAGGTGTTCCACTTTTATTCACCAGCGGTCCATGTTAATTATACTCATGGGTGCTCCCTATCATAGTGGGCGAGATACGATATGTGGCGGCGTATGGTATCATACCGTATCGGCGGGGTCGATAGGACTTGGGAAACTAAACCCCCAATTTCCCATACTCCTATAGAAGTTAGCGCGCGATCACGGGGACAGTGATTGATGGATTTTTGTTTCCATACGGTAGCAAGGGTTTGTAAGGCAGTCGCCATCTACATACTTTTCTTGTTTTTATTTTTTTTCTTGCTCTCCCCGATCAAGGGGGTTCGGGTTGCGCCTATATATATATATGTGCACCGCACTGTGGAGTGCCAAAACTAGCCTCAGTTCTTACTTTTTATTTCTCCTCCTGCCCTCGTGCCTCGCTGATCCCCGACCCCACGACGGGTGTATGGCCCGGAGTCGGATTCCATGATATGATACCACCTTTTATAGCAGGAGACGATTTTCCAGACACAGCCTTGTTGTCGAGGAGGAGATCCAAGTTCTGACCCAACATAATAGCCGCAAGATTTGCCTTTTCTCCCGCCTTGCCGTGCTCGACAGGCCGTTCGATATATGATACGATAATGATAATAACTCATTGTGAACCCTTTCTAATCGCACGGGTGTTACCCAGTTCCTGGCATCTTGACCCGGAGACCACTTGGGCGTTTCACGTAGGGCTGCTCCGAGGGTGGGCACCGTACGAGCAGAACAGTTATGATAGCCTTCTAGCTGATAGATTCCGATTCTTTCCCGTCCGAGGCTGAGGAAAACAATGGTCTAGTAACGGGTCGGGCATCAGGCTCGACCCAACTCGGTCTGCATGAGTAATATGCCCGCCCGGCTCATAGACTCGGCTCGACCCGGCACCATATATGATCGCCTGCGTGTACAAGTAAATTAGTTGCGTATTCTCGTTGCTAATCGAAGCACAAGATTTCCCACTCCCGAGGGTTCTACCGGTATTACCGGTAGTTTTTTTTTTTTTTTGGCTGCTTGTAATTTCGTATCGTACCCTTTCCATGTGCGCATTCTTATTTGTCGTCTGCCGCCAAAACCGATGGGCAAGCAAACCCCTCGGGACAAGGGGGAGCTTCGCGGCAAGTAATCATTGCGTGATTCGGGTCACCGGCTTTGTGCGGCGCCAGCAGGCCGGCTCGGCTGGTGCCGATTTACCTGACATGGGCGATGAAATTATTAATCGTTGGATCCATGTTATCGATAGAAGAGAGGGAGATCGCGAGCACCGGTCGTTGTTGGGTAATCGGAAAATTCTAGCGTGGGTATGATAAAATGGATAATCTTGGGGATGGGGGAAGGTAGGTTTGGATGTGAATGGCGGGATTTGGGGAGGGCTATGGATTTCGTATTTATTGCTGAAGGCGGTGGGAGCCCACAAGTTTATGTGACCATCATAATACCGGTATATGGGAGGGAGGTGCTGATAACACGGTATTAATGGCTCATGGTTGACCACCTCTCTGAGGGCGCTCGATGGGACACATGCCTCCCGTCAATCTTTCGCATCACGGTTGCCTGACATCCTACAACTTCAACGAGTGATAACTAATGATTATCAAGAACTGAAAACCATCGTACTTCCAAGAGGGCCGCTCCTACGACACTCCAGTAAAGTACGGCA